CTGGAATTTTTCCCTTTTCCCAGTGGATTACTGAGCCCTGGAATTTTCCCCTTTTCCCATGAGCCCTGGAATGTTTCCCTTTTCCCAATGGATTCCTGAGCCCTGGAATGTTTCCCTTTTCCCAGTGGATCAACGACACCATCCTGGTGCCCCTGGTGGAGGAGATGGAGTCAGTGAGCACCCAGCTGAGGAGGATGGGCTGCCCCGAGCTGCAGATCGGAGGTGGGAATTCCCGGGCTGGAATTCATGGAATGTTGAACGGGTGGTATTTCGATTAAATTAATCACTTTTGTCCCTTTCTTTTTCTTTTTTTTCCTTTTTTTCCCCTCTAAATTTACTTAATTATTTTTAGGCAATATTATAAATTTATATATAAATGCATTAAACATATAAATGCATTAAATATATACATGCATTAAATATATACATGTATTAAATATATACATATGTTAAACATATAAATGTGTGAAATATATAAATGCATGAAATATATACGTGTATTTAATATATAAATATGAACATATAAATACATTAAATATATAGATGTATTTCATATGTAATTATATGAAATATAAATGCATTTCATATCTAAATATATGAAATATATAATTGCATTTCATATATGAATGTATGAAATATAGAAATGCATTTCTTATCTAAATATGTCAAATATAGAAATGCATTTCATAGCTAAATATATGAAATATAGAAATGTATTTAATAGCTAAATATATCAAATGCATTTCATATATAAATGTAGTAAATATAGAAATGCATTTCTTATCTAAATATGTCAAATATAGAAATGCATTTCATAGCTAAATATATGAAATATAGAAATGTATTTAATAGCTAAATATATCAAATGCATTTCTATATTTCTGAAATATAGAACTGCATTTCATAGCTAAATATATCAAATATAGAAATGCATTTCTTATCTAATTATATCAAATATAGAAATGCATTTAATATCTAAATATATGAAATATAGAAATGTATTTAATAGCTAAATATTTGAAATGCATTTCTATATTTCTGAAATATAGAAATGCATTTCATATATAAAGGTACGAAATATAGAAATGCATTTCATATCTAAATATATGAAATACGGAAACTAGAATATAATTATAAATATAATATTATAAATTTACTCCCATTATCATCAATTACTGCCTAATAATGTCAGAAGGCATTTCAGAGGTGAATGTGCTCCCTTTGAAGTCTCCCTGTCTCCACTCCCGTGTCCTTTTCCAAATTATTCCTCCAAATCTCCCAAATTTTCCCAGAAATCCGTATTTTTAAATCCCAATGGAGTTTTGTTTTTCAAGCCACAGCTTGAAGGAGCTGCTTCTGTTCCTTCAAATCTGCACCTCCTTAGCCAAGAGCTGCATTTGATGTGGTGCAATTCCAATGAAATTCCCGTTTTTTGGGGTGTTGCTTCATCTCTGGAAAACCAGGATGTTGCTCTCATTCCCGCTTTCCTGCTCATAATTCCTGTTGCTTCCTTGCAGCTTTTAAATTCTGAGGGAGAGGAGGCTGGGTTGTGACTAAATGGGTGTGGGGAGGGTGGTGTCTGATTCCAGATGATCCCAGAACATTCCAGGTGATCCCGGTATCCCTGTATTCCAGAGGCCAGCATCAGCAGCCTGAAGCAGGCGGCCCTGGTGAAAGCTCCTCTCATCCCGACCCTCAACGCCCTGGTGCAGTACCTGGATCTCACCCCCAACCAGGAATATCTGGTGGAAAGGATCAGAGGTATGTGCTGGACTCATCCCAAAAAATTCCAGCCTGGATCCCCTCCCCAAATCAGGAATACCTGGTGGAAAGGCTCAGAGGTACGTGCTGGCCTCATCCCAAAAAATTCCAGCCTGGATCCCCCCCCAACCAGGAATACCTGGTGGAGAGGCTCAGAGGGATGTGGTGTCCTCATCCCAAACCCTTCCAGCCTGGATTTCCCCCCTAGATCAGGAATATCTGGTGGAAAGGCTCAGAGGGATGTGGTGTCCTTATCCCAAACCAGGAATACCTGGTGGCTTTAAAGGCTCAGAGGGATGTGGTGTCCTCATCCCAAAACAATTCCAGCCTGGATCTCCCCCCAAATCAGGAATATCTGGTGGAAAGGATCAGAGGTATGTGCTGGCCTCATCCCAAAAAAATTCCAGCCTGGATCCCCCCCCAAATCAGGAATACCTGGTGGAGAGGCTCAGAGGGATGCGGTGTCCTCATCCCAAACCAGGAATATCTGGTGGAAAGGCTCAGAGGTACGTGCTGGCCTCATCCCAAAACAATTCCAGCCTGGATCCCCCCCCAGATCAGGAATACCTGGTGGAGAGGATCAGAGGTATGTGCTGGCCTCATCCCAAAAAATTCCAGCCTGGATCTCCCCCCAAACCAGGAATACCTGGTGGAATACCAGGGGGTTGGAACTGGGTGGATCTTTAAGGCCCCTTCCAACCCAGACCATTCCATGATTCCATGATTTCCTCCGTGCTCAGGGTGCCAAGGGCTGGATCAAAAAGTGCTGGACTAAAAAGTGCTGGATTAAAAAATCCTGGATTAAAAAGTGCCAGACTAAAAAGTGCCAGACTTAAAAGTCCTGAATTAAAAAGTGTTGGACTAAAAAGTGCTGGACTAAAAAGTGCTGGATTAAAAAGTACTGAGCTAAAGTGCTGAGCTAAAAAGGGCTGGATTAAAAAATACTGAGCTAAAAAATCCTGGATTAAAAAGTGCTGAGCTAAAAAGTGCTGGATTAAAAAATCCTGGACTAAAATGTGCTGGACTAAAAAGTGCTGGACTAAAAAGTCCTGGATTTAAAAGTCCTGGATTAAAAAGTGCTGGACTAAAAAATCCTGGATTAAAAAGTCCTGGATTAAAAATTGTGGGGCTAAAAAGTGCCGGGCTAAAAATGCTGAATTAAAAAATCCTGGATGAAAAAGTCCTGGATGAAAAAGTTCTGGATTAAACCCCCTCACAGCCAAAGCTCACCCTGTAGTTTTCCCTCCCAGCCATTCCATGGGTTGAACTATCCCTATTTATACACCAGAAATGTGCATTAAACCTTTCAAACCTGCTTTTATCCGCCTTGAATCCCAAAAAACCTCCCAAATGTTGCTTCCAGAGCTCTCCCAGGGCGGCTGCATGAGCTCCTTCCGATGGAACGGAGGAGGGGACTTCAAGGGCCGCAAGTGGGACACGGACCTGCCCACGGACTCCTCGGTGAGATCCCACACACACCTGGATAAGGGGGGATTGGAGCTGCTGGTTTTTTGGGATAGGCTTTGGAGGGAGCAGCCAGGGAGGCTTTGGGGCATGTGGTGAAGTGGGAACAGCAGAGGAACGGACGGGATGAGCTTTGAAGGAGGGAAAGTGGGAAAAACGGGGTCAGGGAGCCCTGGGAATGTCAGGGGAGCTGGGATCCACCGGGATCCTGCCCTGGGATCCTCGGGATTCATCCCCAGCTTCCAGACGTGGAACTGGTGCCGCTTCAGGGCCTTGATCCCGACCTGATTGTGGGGGGAAAAACTCAGGGAAAATGGGAAAAGGGGCTCCTTGGGAACATGAGGGGATCCCTGGGAATGGGTATCTGTTCCACCTGGCGATTCAGGGCCTTGATCCAGTCCTGCTTCTGAGGGAAAAACATGGAAAAATGGGGGGAAAACGGTGCCGCTTCAGGGCCTCGATCCCGACCTGATTGTGGGGACAAAAAACAGGGAAAATGGGAAAAGGAGCTCCCTGGGAACATGAGGGGATCCCTGGGAATGGGGTCAGGGATCCATGGGACCCCTCAGCACTGGGATCTGCTCCACCTGGCAATTCAGGGCCTTGATCCAGTCCTGCTTCTGGTGGGAAAAACATGGAAAAATGGGGAAAAAACAGGGAAAATGGAGAAAAAAAACGGGAAAAAACACATGGGTCTCCCTGGGAATGGGGTCAGGGTTTGGTGTGGGCAGAGGTGGGTTTTGGGTTCCTCCCCTGCTCAGCCAAACCCTGACCCGCAGAACTCAGTCCTTTAGGCCCTTGGCTGCTCCTAAGGCCCGGGGTTAGGCCAGGATTGCAAGCCCGGCCTATCCCCCGCTGTGCTCGGCTCCTGGGGTGGTGGCAGGGGTGTTCCCTCCCTTTTTGGGGCCATCCCAGTGAGCTTTGGGTCCTTTCCCCAGATCCTCATGCACGTGTTCTGCACCTACCTGGACTCCAGGCTCCCTCCTCACCCCAAATATCCCGACGGCAAAACCTTCACCTCCCAGCACTTCATCCAGAGCCCGGATAAACCAGGTACCTGCCTCCCCTTGGGAAGAGGGGGAAAGCCATCTTTTATCCCTCTGGGATCACTCTGACATTCCCACTGTCATTCCCAGACACTTCCAACGAGAACCTGTTCTGCATCTACCAGAGCAGCATCAACCCACCCCACTACGAGCTCATCTACGAGTGCCACGTCTACAGCCTGCCCAAGGTATGGGGTGGGATGGGATGGGATGGGATTCTCCTGCTCCCAGGAATCCTCTCCAGCTCCAGCTCGGGGTGTTGGAACTCCTAAACCCATTTATGGACTCTTTACATCAGCCTGGCCCAGCCCGCTCTAAGCCCAGCGTGGTGCCAATTTATTGTAAATTAAATTTACATTTAAATGTAATTCAGAATTTTTTAACCCAAATGCCCCAATCCCTGATTTGTTGGTTTTCTGCCAATTTATTGTAAATTAAATTTCAATTTAAATGTAATTCAGAATTTTTTAACCCAAATCCCCCAATCCCTGATTTGTTGCTTTTCTTCTAGTTTATTGTAAAATTACCATTTTTTTAATCCCAAATGCCCCAATCCCTGATTTGTTATTTTTCTGCCAATTTATTGTAAATTAAATTTACATTTAAATGTAATTTAGAATTTTTTAACCCAAATCCCCCCATCCCTGATTTGTTGCTTTTCTGCCAATTTATTGTAAATTAATTTTAAATTTAAATGTAATATAGAATTTTTTAACGCGAGTTCCCCATCTCTGATCTCTTGGTTTTCTTCCAATTTATTCTAAAATTAAATTTACATTTAAATGTAATTTAGAATTTTTTAACCCAAGTCTCCCATCCCTGATTTGTTGGTTTTCTTCCAATTTATTGTAAAATTACCATTTTTTTTAACCCAAATCCCCCAATCCCCGATTTGTTACTTTTCTGCCAATTTATTGTAAATTAAATTTAAATTTAAATGTAATTCAGAATTTTTTAACCCAAATGCCCCAATCTCTGATTTGTAGGTTTTCTAGTAATTTACTGTAAATTAAATTTAATTCCAGGGCAGGAACAACATGTTCCACACCCTGCTCATGTTCCTGTACATCATCAAGACCAAGGAATCCGGGATGCTGGGGTAGGTTCCAGAGAAAAGGTGGGATAGGGCTGGATAAAAAGCGGGAAATCGCATCGGGATGGTGATTAATGGGGTTTAAATCATCTGATTAATGGGGTTTAAACCATTAAACAGCAGCTTTCCCATCCCGTGGGGTAATTCCCACCCCTTTGGGTTTTCCAGGCGTGTCAATCTGGGATTGTCGGGAGTCAACATCCTGTGGATCTTCGGGGACTGACGGATCCCTGCTCCGAGACATCCACGTGGTCGGTTTAAACCCGGATCATTTAAGCTCAGCTTAAAGGGGAAGCGCCTGGAATTCCTGCCTGGATTTCTTCCCGAGGCATCCCATGGAATATTTCACCTGGGAACAAGCTCCAGGCAGGATTAGGATTCTCCTTCCCGCTCCTCACCTCAACAGTTTAAACTGAGCTTAACTGATCCAGACTAAACCTGGGAGGGTCATGCACAGCCACGGATGATCCAACACTTGGGAAAGACCCTGGGACGCTCCAGGATCCAAGAAATCCCAGCTGGGCACAAGGAAATCCAAACCAGGGGGGGTTTAGACTCGGCTTTGCTTCATTTTATTATAAAACCCCCACAACTTTTGCTCCTGGTCGTTGGTGTCATCATGTCTCTGACCCCACAGGGTGTCCCTGTAAATCAAAAAACCCCCTTTTGACTCGCTGGGTTCAGCAAATCCCAGTTTTTTTACTTATATTTTAAGTTTTATTTTCTTTTTTTTTTAAGTTAATTGTTTAGTTCCAAACCAGCTCGGCCTCCCAAGGGGTGCCTTGGGATTTAATTCTCCTGCTCCCCTTTTGTTCATTAATTACCTCTTTTTTTAGGGACTGGGATGTGGCTGGGGCTGGGAAGCCAAACTTTTTTTGGGGGGAAAACCAAAATTTCGGATTTGTTTCCAAAAAGGCCTCAATTGATGTTTGTTTGCCAAATTCCCACTTCAGTTATTTTGGGCCAAGGTGAATTTTGGGAGCAAACGTAGGACCAAAAACCCGTGGGATCACTGGAGTGTGTTTTTTATGGAGGTGGGAAAAGAGGGATTTGTGGAACTTTGTGCTGATTTTTTGGTGTGAACTGATGGGTTTTGGTGACTCTCTTCTGGGGGACCCGGGTTTTTCCAAGGAATGGGACCAAAGTGGCTCGTTTGGTTCCTGAATTAAATGAGATCGTTTTATCAAAGGCTTTTTGGGGTTTTTCCTTGGGTTCAGCATCCCCAAACCCATCCCTGGGCCAAGGGGGGGATGTTCCAGGCCCAGGTTTTGCC